ACACAGACAACCCCGTGACAATATGCGTTTTGTAATGCTGTTACACAGCACAAAACGCATAAAAACCAAAGCCCGAGCGAACAGCTAGGTAGTTCTGACACTGAAAAAAACTAGTGTATAAACCGAGATAGAATTTTTTTCGAATTTCTTGTTCTCAGTCTTTGAGTTTGTTCCATGGCTGCTTAAATGTAGTCATTTTTTTAACAACTGATAAATTTCTGTGTCTTTTGCTTGTATAATAACATGCCGTTCCGTGCAGCTGATACTTGTTTTGGTTCTTCAGCGAATTACTAAGGTCACACTTTGTGCCGTTTCAGTACTCCACCTTCTCTATACAGTTCCTATAGAAAGATACCGACTTTCTTTAAAAAAAGAATTGGTTGTCAGAAAGGTTCTCGTCTACATTATCGTGGGTGGTCTTAATTTGGTGCACGGGGATGATGTCTCATACTCGTAGCATCGAAGATGCATAAAAAAACCATTGCCTGCTGGCGACGCATCTTTTAGATAATAAATTTATCATTCGCTTATTTAAACAGTGTCTTCTGCCGACGTGCACAAAATTTCACGAGAATTCCGAGACAACTGGCAGAAGTGCGTGCGATGCAACTGCTATGTTGTAAAACCTAAAATATAAAATAATATTTCTGATACTGTGCTCGTCGTGTGAGAGCATTCTAATAACATCACTAACAGGGAATACCACACTGATAGCTCGAGTAGTCTTGGTATTTTTGGCACTTCTAATACTGTAGAAAGAGCGGAGGAAATAAGGGGAACTGCGGTGTGAAGAGGTCGGCAGAGTAAGTGTACCAAACACATATGCATGCTGCGAATGTACTATCGAACTTCGTGAAACCCAACACTGCCAATGTGCCAGTTACATGAGCTTCGCTTTAAAGAATGTACATCGTGGAAATAGCACATTTGAAGATGGCGGCAATGCTGAATTACTAATAGGACATGAATACTGGTGTGAATTTAGAAAAATTTCGGGATTAGTGCGCATGAAGTAGTATGCTAATGCAGCAAGTTGCATAGAGAGGCAAATGTGTAAAGATGTCAGAACTGCATATAACGGAGCCGCAAATTATTGGTAAAGTTCACCTAAGCCGAAAACATGCATTGGTGAATCCTATTTCCCAGTTTTGAGAGCACCTGAGGGTGAAAGAAGCAAGGCAAGTTCGTCGGAAAAACGGTTTTTAGCTAATGAAAAAATCTTAAAGCTTTTCTTATGGAAATATTACTGTACGCCTATTACCATTATTAGATTGGCGCGCATGTGAGTGAGTGTGTGCATGTACGGGCTGTTATTTTTCAGCGCGTTTGTATACTAGTATTGTATAGTACTTTTAAGCGATAATAAAAAAAGCACAGAGTTGTGATGAGTCAGAGCCTCCCGGAGCGGAAAATTGCCACTCGTATGGGTCTTGAAGCGTAAGAAGACAGAAAGGGGTAATAAAAGTTCCGGAAACTCGATTTGTGAAGTACCAAATGAATGCATTTAATTACAGTCAGTGGTGAGACCTGCGATCATGCGCTTTTGCAATGTTTCGTGTTGTAGTAAGATCGATTGGAATCCCACTAACTGGAATTTGCGACATACTGGTCCTCGAAGTCCCGCAAGTTAATTGTGCAACTACACGGTACTTGGACAGGGAACGTGCCGTTAAAATTTCAGCCTTCTAGCTTTTCCTTTTTCCAAGTTAGCAGTTTTCCTAGCAGAAACTTTCAAGGGACCGTACGTGAGAACCACGCAAACCTGGGGGCTGAATTTGCTTTAAGGCTGGGAAAATCCCTTTAAAATTTCAGCTTCCCGACTTTCTTGACTTTCGACTTAGCTGTTTTCTCGCCAAAATTTTCACATGCTCATACACGGGGTCCAGATGTGTGTGAAGGTTGATACGGCCCTGGGATGGACTAAGGAACGCACTGGCAAAATTTTAGCGCCGGAGCGTACTTGGTTGCTGTGTTGACCGGGGTCGTCACAATATGCTTTTTTGTATTTTGTTTATATGCAGAAACGCATAATAATGTAACAGCGTCTGATAGCAGCAGTAAAAGTTGGTACATGTGGCTCCCTTTGTGATGATGGATGAAGCTTTAGTATCGAATAATTGGTATCTCAAGATTAAGAATTTTTATTGCCAAAATGTAAGTCCATTAGTCCAGTCGTTTCCCTCCCAGCAATTATTTTGCCTCAGTGCCTGCTCTGCTGGATTCTAGCGGTGGTCGTTTCATCGATCTCAGCGTCATCAGTACTTACTATCGAAGGGATGCGCATCAGGGGACGAGATGATCAGCATTACTGACTATAATCCGATGTGGCGTTAATCGTCTCGCGCAAACTGCGTTTTCGCTGCCGCATTCCAGCAATAACGTTACGGCTGCTTGTTATCACGTGTGATTGTGCGTCGCTGCGCATCTTCCGTCCGTTCACGATTTAATTGTGTCTGTTGAAACTGGTTCCCGGTTGGCGGCTATTACCATTGTTATCCTGCTCCGTTTACAGACACACCTTTCCTCATCGTTGTTGTAAATGACCTCGGTGACATCGAGACCCCAATTAACGCTCTTTTCAGTGGTATTAACGCTCTTTTCAAGTCCACCCAGCCACCGATGACCTTTGTGTGACCGCTGACGAATTTTCTTTGTTACTGCTACTGTTGTTGTTTCTTTTATTGTTGCGCAGAGTGGTGTATGGATGACGCTGTTATGCGTATTCCCTTATTGCCAGGATCGTTCGGACAGTCACTATTGGAACTCTGGACATTATTGATCTAACTTCGGCGAACTTCTTATCTGTACAAGTTCTGCGTAAGACCGTGTAAATTCATGCATGCGTGGAGCACTAATGAAGGCTATTCAACAGGCACACAGAAACGCGAGGGAACGCTCTGCAGGGGCTGTAAGGCATGACATTGAAAACGAAATTATGTCTCCATGTTGAATTTCGTTCTCAGCGGGATGAGTTTTATTGGATACCTCTTTTTTCGTGATGATTTGACATCTCTGTAGCGGCTCCCTTTCCTTAGCAATGGTAAATCATAATTTGGTGGAATGTTCGTAGAAACGGTAAACACAAATGTTTAATAAATTTTATGATGCCAAAGTTGAGCGCCAGCGCATTTTTGATAAAGAAGATAAATTTGAATCTTTGCGTCTTTTCCATAATCGTTCATTTCTGCTGATGCCCAAATCCGGCAGCAGCATACAGCATATGTGCTCAAATTACTAAGAATTTTAGCGAACGAAGTGATGCATTACGGTACTTGGTCGTTGTAGAAAGCGCTGCTGTGTTGCAGTTGGCTGTTTCTCGTAGTGTACTGGCAGCGGCAACAGAATGCGGTGGCTACTTTTCACGCTCACTTCAGTAACACGTTTGTTTTGTGTGTGCCTTTCGTTCATCACTATTTTTCTTTGCGTATTTCCTATCATTCATTTCGATGACAAGCAGACTGTAGCAACCAGGTTGATCCTGGGAGCTTAAATGACGGAGACATTGCAGCATAAGAGGAGATAGGAGTAGGATAAGAAATGTAAGAAAGAAAAAAAAAAGAAGTGTATACGACTTAATGGACCGAAACATTTCTTACCAACTTTAATAATTCTTTACAACCCTTTCGTCTTTTGTTCATATTTTCTCCAAAACCTTAAATAAGACGTTCCGGTCCAGTAAGTTATATACGATTTAACACCACGACAGGACCTCGTCAGTATGATGGTCATAGTGCTGGCATATGCCAGAGAGTTAAACAACCGTCAGCTTGCTTGTACCTCAGAAGAGGGAACCATGATAATCTTGTCAGCGAGGAGGAACTACTGGCTTTTAATACACTCGAACTACTTTTCGAGTGCCTCCGCTCCTCACAGAGGACGAAGTACGAAGGGGGTTTTGGTTCTTGGATTTGACTTATGTTGCAGGCAACTTTTTATATTGTGCTTTGTTGCTGATGAAAGTACTAGAACTGAAGTAGAACATTTTGCCCCGCCGTAGTTTTCTAAAAGGAAGTAAGCCTTTATTTGGCTACTTGTCAACGCTCATTCAGTTTGGCAGAGCTTGGCGTCTTTTTACTCCTCCCCCCTCCCGTATTTTTTTCGCTTATTACATTTTGTCTTTCCCCAACTGGTTTTAGTGCCTATTTGGTAAAGTCTGACAGTTTTTCAGCTCGTTTTTATTAGCTACAATTTTCGTTTCTTGCGCGGGTGGTTTTGGTTTTAGCGCGTTTAACTTAGGCAGCCCTTTGTTACCTTTCCGAATTACTTTCTATAACTTAGAAAATGAACAGTAGTGGCGAAGAGTGAAATGCCGATGAAAAATGAGGGTTATGAGAGTAATAATAATAATAAAGGAGTAATTATAAGCAATAATAAATAAAAACAGCATTGTAATGTTAATGCAGTTGTGATGTCTAAAATTGAAAGAAAAGAACTAAAGCAAAAATTGAGTAGTAATCGAGTATATAGTAGAATGTTTCGGTTCACTAAGTCGTATACATTCCCTTATAGTACCACAGCTGGACTTCGTCAGTACGACAGTTGTTTTGTGAGCATAATTTGTTGCAGTATTGGTAAGCTGTGAAATTCATAGGAAGCGTGTGGCAGTGATTGGCGAAGGAGCACTGGGCGCTTCCTCAGCACTGGCTCTCATTGAACGTGATCCCACACTCAATATAACAGTCTTCTACGATGTTCCATTCAGGAGGACAGTTAGCTGGGGTCCTGCTGGTCTATTTCGTGTCGACACCATTCAAAACAGGTTGCATTCCTATTTTTTTCCCCCAGCTTGAGAATTTTCCATTGCCCTTTCGATTCTGCGTTGATTCAGTAATTAGTCAAATAGTAAGCAGTTGCTTCCCTTGTTGACATTCCATACATTCTGAATACAGTTGCGTATAAAACCAGCAAAAGTCCAGGAATACTGTAATTCTTTTTTTTTAAACTGTGTTGAAATAAAATATAGTTGGCAAATGTAGGTAAATTAAGAGGGTAGAAAGCTTGGGTTGCAAGCATTTTGCCAGTTTTTTCTTGTCGATACGAGGATGAGGTTGTGTTAAGCCTAGGATTAAGTGTATCAGTATTTTCTTTTTCTTGGAAAGTTAGTCACTCTATATGTTTTTCTGTAGGAATTGAGCTGCTTTTTTGAAGGGGCAGGCTGTCGAAGCACGGAGTAAAGATAGTCGGGGAGCAGAACAAAGAAACTCAAATTTTAACTTCAGATAAATGGGACTGAATTAGCGTACATGCCCAACATTTGCATTTGACGTATGTTTGCTCTTCATGACATAACTGCATGTCGATTCCCTGGTGCACATGCTTTTTTTAGACCTTACGGGAAGCGATCATTTCCTCGATATGCAAAATTATTTCGAGAACTGGGAGGTGAGCAGTGTGGTGTTAATTTATTGTCTGGTCACATACTTTCGACAAATCTCACTGAACTTGTTGAACAGGTTAGCAGTTTAGTGATTACCTTTATGGGTATCCATCCTTTTTCCCCACAGTTTCTGAAATTGAAGAAAGCCTGAGGCGTTATTTTTAGTTAGAGAGACTAGACCAGCTTCATTGTGCTAGAATACAGTGGAAAAGCAAAAATTTGCTACCTACGCATTCTTTGAATGATTGCAGGAGAAAATTTACGGCGATTTTGT